TTTATCAGCAGAGTAAATCATTTCCTGACACATGAACACGTTTCCTTACACCAGTCAGATCTTACTGAAGTGTTGCCTCATCTCTCTCTTTGTTCCTCCACTTGTCACCCCCACCCCCTGTTCTCCGTCCTCTCCATCACCTCCCTCTCTCCTCCCTCTCTCCTCCCTCTCCGCAGGGAGTGCCTTTGAGGTGAAGCAGCACTCGTTCTTCACAGAGCTGGACTGGAACAGCCTGCTGAGGCAGAAAGCCGAGTTCATCCCTCAGCTGGAGTCTGAGGACGACACCAGTTACTTCGACAGTACGTCACACACGTCGACCGACTGCTCCTCACACCGAGGAGAGAGAAACTCTTCACCAGAGGGAAACTTAGGAGTGAAAATAATCTCCTGTATCTGTGTGTGTCTGACAGCACGCTCTGATCGGTACCACCACGTGGATTCAGAGGAGGAAGACGACACCAATGACGACGAACACGTGGAGATTCGACAGTTCTCCTCTTGCTCTCCTCGCTTCAGCAAGGTACAGACTGAGGAGATTTCTATTTCTCATGATCTGTCTCTATATTTGCGAAATTAGATTATTCCATCTCCACCTGAGAACATTCGAATCTTCTTCTCTGAGGTTAGAAGACGTGGACGGCCTCCGCTGTGACCTCAGATCTAAATGAATTGTCTCCTGTGTGTTTGTGTCCCGCAGGTTTACAGCAGCATGGAGCGTCTGTCTCTGCACGAGGAGAAGAGGACTCCACCTCCCACCAAACGCAGCCTCAGTGAGGAAGGAGGAGATCGGATCGACAGCCTGAGTGGACTGAAATCCAGAGATCGATCGTGGCTGGTGGGATCTCCAGAGATGTGAGTTCCTCACCTTCACACAAACAGGAGGCTGTTATCTAAAAGTCTAGATAAGTAAATATGTTTCCAGAGAAGAAGAGGACAATAGAACACGATGACGTAGAAACATGTTTTTAAGTAATTATATATAAACGTGTACATGAAGTCGTCTTTATATTTTGAGGTTTGAGGTTTTTGAGGTGTCTGATCTTTTGTCTGCTTCATTTCTCTCCAGCCTGCGGAAGCGTTTGTCTGTCTCAGAGTCGTCGCACACGGAGAGCGACTCCAGCCCTCCTCTGACAGTCCGGCGGCGCTGCTGCTCGGCCATCATCGAGATGCCGCGCTTTGCCATTTCCTCTGAGGAGGAAGGACAAGGTAACAGCTACAGGAAGGAGCAGCCGATGGTCACTCTGTCGTCCATGTCGGCTCAGAGACAGCGGACAGAACAAGAGACAGTTATTGAGCCTCCTGTTGGAAAACATCTTTCACCAGGAGACACACCCGACTCTCTGTCTTCTCTGTTGGGAATCAATCCTACGAGCTTCATGTTCCCCCCGTGTGTGTCTCTCAGGTGCAGCTGGAAGCCGGAAGAGTCCCAGCCTGAGTGCGTTGAGGGGCCCCCGGAGCGATGAGCTGCCCCTCGCCATCCCAGAGCTCCCAGTGGAGAGAGAGCTGAAGCTGGACGAGTCTCCCACCACCTCGAGCTCCGCCTCCAGTCAGCTGAGCAAGGCCACGCTCACACGTCAGTACAAACGCAAACCGTGAAGACACACAACGCAAACATCACAAGACATAAATATATAAATATATCAATCCAGAAGTGGATCGAGTAAAGTTGAGAATCTGAGTTACAGGAACATGAACTGTGTAGGTGTGATGATAAATATTTTACTGCTCTGAAAAGTGATTAAATGTTGTTTGAGGAGCATTAATTATGATTTTAACGTATTTTAATTGATCACTAATACACTGACTTCACTGTTCTTCTTACTTTACTCACTTCCTGTCAGAGAGCAATTTAAAACCTTCTGTAAATCTCTTAATGTTTGGGTTGAAAAAGTCTTAACTCTGATATTCTTACAGAAAGAAACAGTCTGAGTTTAACTTGAACATCTTAACTCCTCCCTCTTCCTGTCTCCGCAGCGGGCAGCTCCGGCGATGTGTGTGAACGTGGTAACGGCGGTAACGGCCGAGCAGCTAGAGCAGACAGCGACTCTCCATCGACTCCTAAAGCCATCAGTGACCTGGCTGCTCGCAGGGCTCGTCATCGCCTGCTGTCCGGAGACGCGGACAAACACACGACCACTCAGAGCTCCAGGCCGCTCAACAAGGTCATCAAGTCGGCCTCCGCCACCACGCTGTCGCTCATGATCCCTGCAGGTCAGTGCGTCAGGCCGAGAAACACGAGGGTCGCATTTCATTTCTTTTACATCAAACAAATCTTTATATTTACGTACCTCAGTTTACAAAATGTACTTTTTCTCTCAGACCACCACGGAGCGTCCCCGCTGGCCAGCCCCATGTCCCCCCACTCACTGTCGTCCAATCCGTCGTCCCGAGACTCCTCGCCGAGCCGGGATCTGTCCCCGGCCGTGACCAATGTCAAACCCGCCATCGTGATCCACAGAGCTGGAAAGAAGTACGGCTTCACCCTGAGAGCGATCCGGGTCTACATGGGAGACTCTGACATCTACACCGTGCATCACATGGTCTGGGTGAGGTCACACTCACAGACATCAGTGATTTGATTTTGAAACGAGGATCACGTTAAACATGTGAACACGACATGAATCACCTGATCCTGTCATCTTAAGATGAAGGAACAACATATTAACTACACGCGTGTTCATGTGAGAGAGCTTCTGTGATGGAGCTGGGATTCTGGTTGTTGACAGAAGATGGCAGCAAACAACAAGACAACAACTAACTCCCTCTCTCTCCCTCCCTCTCTCTCCCTCCC